CACATCTATATACTCAACATCGCCTCACAATTTAATCTTGTTAAAATTTTCATTTTTAAAAAATATTTTATAATTTACAAATTTTCAAAATTTATTTTTATACAAATTTTCATTTTTATAATTTAATATTGATAAAGATGATGGTCAAATTTCTGTATACAATAATGGTAAAGGCATTCCAATTAAAATCTACGAGGAATTAAATGTTTATGTGCCAGAGATATTGTTTGGTCAACTTATGACATCATCAAATTATAATGACGATGAAAAGAAATTTACTGGTGGAAGAAATGGCCTTTGTGCAAAATCTGCAAATATATTTAGCACTAAATTTACTGTTGAAACTATTGACATGGCCAGGAAAAAAAATATGTTCAATCTTTTTATAAAAATATGACAAAAACTGGCAAACCAAAAATTACTGCTTACAACAAAAAAGAAGAATACACCAAGATATCATTTAATCCAGATTTTGGAAAATTGGGAATGTCAAAATTGACTAATGACACAATTGCTTTATTAAATAAACATGTATATGATATAGCAGGAACAGTAAAAAATGTCAAAGTTTTTCTTAACAATAAACATATTCAACTTAAGAGTTTTGAGGAATATGTTCAAATGTATCTGAAATCAGTAGATGCTGGATCTTCAAAAACCAATGTTGTTCATGAAAAATTCGGTGAACACTGGGAAGTCAGCATTGTACCTAGTGTTCAAGGACAGTTCCAGCAAGTAAGTAATTTTATATTATACATTACAAATACTCATGTCCTGTTTGTTATCCATTTTGTTTGTCATTCACTCATTCCTTCCCTTCTTCCCTAAAAATAACTGTAACAATAACAATTAGATGAGTTTTGTAAATAACATATGTACATCTAGAGGTGGAATTCATGTCAAATATGTTGTTGATCAAATAACTGCAAAACTTTTGGAGCATATTGAAAAAGAAAATAGAGATTTAACAGTTAGACCCAATCAAATTAAAGATCACATTTGGATATTCATCAATTGTTTAATCGAGAATCCTATTTTTTGACACACATATGAAAGAATTTATGACATTAAAACAAGCTTCATTTGGGTCAGAGTGTGTGATTGATGATGATTTTATTAAAAAAATATTAGAGGTTGGTTTGTTTGAAGAGACATTAGGAATAACTGATGGTGCAAAAAGAAACACAATCAATGTAGAAAAACTAGAGGATGCATCAAATGCAAGAACAGATTCCTCATCTGACTGCACTCTAGTGTTAGTAGAAGGAGATATAGCCAAGAAATTTGTCTTATCTGGTTTTAGTATTGTTGGATGTAATGACTGGGGTGTATATCCATTAAGAGGAAAGCTGTTAAATGTACATGATGCCACTGTGAAACAAATTTCTGAGAATGAAGAGATACAGGCACCAAAACAAACATTGGGGCTCCAACACAACAAACAATATGACTCAGTGAATGAGTTAAGATATGGGAAATTGATGATGATGACTGAACCAGATCCTGATGGCAGTCACATAAAAGGACTCATAATCAATTTTTTTGATAATTTTTATCCATCATTACTGAGACAGCCAGGGTTCTTGCATGAGTTCATAACACCGATAATAGAATGCACAAAAAACAACAACACCATATCATTTTTCACATTGGCAGAATATGAAGAATGGAAAAGACACAATGATGATGGAAGAGGGTGGGATGTAGGGTTTGTATTCACGGATACCATAAGGAGGTCACACAGGGTTACACGCTATTAAAATCAAGTGTTTTTAAGGGATTTTTTGCTGATTTATTAGTGTGTAACCCTCTTAACGGTATTCATGGTATCTGTGAATACAAACCCTAGTGGGATGTTAAGTATTACAAGGGTCTTGGAAGCTATACGTACAAAGAGGCCAGAGAATATTTCAGTGATCTCAACAAACATGCCAAGGGATTTAGACCAATGGATGAAGAGGATTACAGGTTAATAGAGATGGCATTTGCAAAAAACAAAGCTGATGAACGTAGAGACTGGCTTCAAAAAATAAAAAAAGAAGAGACCCATGTAGAATACATAAACAATGAAAGAACAATTAGGGATTTCCTAAACAATGAATTATCCTTGTTCTTTCTTTATGATAATATTTGCTCAATACCATCAGTTATAGATGGATTGAAACCAGGGCAAAGAAAGATTTTGTTTGGGTGCATAAAAAAGAACCTGACAAAACCAATCAATGTGACACAATTGTCAGGCTATGTTTCTGAAAAAACAGCATACCATCATGGGGAAGCCAGTTTACATGTGTTACCAGAATTAAATGATGGCGAAGATAATTTGGCCGAATCCTTTAATTTCGGGTCAAATTAAATTTTATTTCTATTTTTATTTTTATTTTTATTTTTATT